TAATATATCTCTTTTTACAAAGTTCTTTGCCTGTCCGTCTGACCCATCTGCCTGTTAACGGCCGCCTTATTCGAGTTAGTAAACTTGCTACTTACTTCTTAGAGTCAAGAACATATAATTAATTCCCCCCCCCCCTCTTTATATATTCCTCAACTACTAACTTTCTCCCAACATTTGGAAGCATTGTCTGTATTATTATGTAGTGAAGGCAAATATAGTGGTTGAAAACGGGTGGATAAACAGACGGACGGCTCTTTTCTTGCTAAATGCGTAGTACGGTCTACCTAGCAAGCTAGTTGTTGCTGTCTGTCTGTCTGTCTGTCTATCTATCTGTCTGTCTGTCTGTCTGGCGGTCTGGTTTTTGTCTATTAATTTGTTCCTTGTTTAACAACCCCTTTATATTACACCCATTCACGTAATAAATTCGACGATACACAGTCTCGACGCGGCTCGGTGATCGCAAAAGAAAATCTATAAGATTCTAACGATAATAGACTTTATTTTACAGGCAATTTGATTAAAATTATCCATAATGCCATATTAATCCTTAAATGTGATGGGAAAAATTGGCGATTGGCAAAGTCTCTTACAAATCTGTTACATCTTTTGTAAATTTTTCTCGAATGTTTTTTTTGACGCGATTACTTTTATTAGTTAAGAATACATAACCATATATGTATATTGGAGAAAAATATTATTGCATTAAAATTAATATTCTTCATTATCTATTAATTTTTTCAAACAAGAATTAAAAGGTTTAAAAAGAGATTTTAGGGCCTAAAAGATTCCATGCATCTCGTTAAGGATTAAGATTACAGTTATATCGTATCATTTGCCATGCATATTCAAATTTCAAGCCCGAAATAGATAAATGGTAATGATAATGATCGATCGATCGAGCTACGATCAAGGCTGCGTCTATCCTAAGCGTGCACTATATAATTTAGTTCGATCTCACTCTCGGTATTATTTCCATATTATTCACTGTCACACGGCCAATGCTCTTGGTATGCTGGATGGATTAATTGACTTATTCAATTGATTAACATGCAATTCACATATATTCGAATATATATTAATTGAACATTTATGCCCTTTCCGTACGGTATTATCTACCTATTCTACACTATTATCGTTGCGATGTTGGTGTTGTTGTTTAATACATCTATATATATTCTAATCAATATTTTGTATTGATGTTGATGTTGTTGTTAATTTGATGTTTTTGATGTGTTGTTTAGTCGTTGTTATCTTGCTGTTTGTTTGATGTTTGCACTATGTTGTTGCACTTTGTGTGTCTATGTACACACCTACATACGTATACATGTATATATCTCTTATCACGTATTATATACGTACACGTTATTATCTATATCATGCACAAAATCAATTGTGTACCAAAAATTTACCCCCATACACCATATATAAAAATAGAATTTAAATATCATGTAAAATCCTACTATAAGTCGTATGCATATCAAACGCATACGCGCACGCTTGTAGTGTACCGTTGTAACGCGTATATTAAGAAATACCTAAATAACTCGATTTCTAATATTTACAATTGTGGTTTCTTTTAACAAAGATTTTTTTGTTTATAATTATTATTTATTCAATTAAATATCGCAATATACCGTATGTGAGATTAAGAATATCTCGAGATGAACAATAGAGCTTCTCTCTTTATAACTGCAATCTATTTTTTCATTTATGTTCTGCTAAGAATATATTCTATAAACGTACATTTCATATTCATCCGGTCTCACGCTTGGAATGCATCATTCAATGCATATGTATATGTGTATGTATGTACGTCATATATAAATATATATGTACAGTGTTCCAGGATTATCGTACTCTCTTTCACATATAAATTCTTTTGGTGAATCTGAGGTCGATGAATCCTACACGATGAAAATTTGATGGGATATCTATGATTATAAAGTCGATTAACGAGAATTGAAAAACTCTGGGACAAATTAAATACATTAAAAATTTATATAGAATAAGCCATTAATACAATTAAAAAAACTTTATACATCTGATTCAATGGCGCTAAAATGTTTCAAATAAAAAATTATATCGACGATAATTTTTTTTTTTTTTTTTGGAAAAGACGATTTTACATTCATTTGAAGAATCTATAATTGAAAGAAACTGCGACAGTTTTGGAACATAATCTGTACCATGGTCTAAGCATCAGAATTTTATCGATTCGTCACTAAAACCACCCCCTAACAAGCTCATGGTAACAACGACTTTTCTATCCTTATCTAACTATCTATGTACCTATCTGTATATTTATGCGTGTGTCAGTTACGAAACTGGGCTAAGCTACTATGCCGCCGAAAGATGAGACAATACTAAAGGCAGAGATCTACTCTAACATTTTACCCTTAATATTATTATCTTGTTGCAATTCTCTCTACTTCGATGTGTATAGCTTATATACGGCTTAACTCAATTTCGTGATTCAGTCTGAGTACACGTACATACATATGTAAGTGTTTGAATGCGATTTATTATCATAACTGCAATATTAATACATCTATATTAAGTATAGCTAAGCTACATGAAAATAATTTGTGTATAACAAACTCATTACTCTGGTAATTGTTCAATTACATCAATGATGATCAAAATAATATCGAAAAAAAATAAGCACGATCACTCTGGATTAACAAAATTTATGATAAAGTGCGAAATAAATTGGACGAAATAATTTCGTCTTTCAAAGGTTATAATAAAAACTCGTTAATGGCTCGTAATTCCAAAGCAAACTATCGTATAACACGCGTATTAGGAAAGGAATCTAACATTTTGTATATATATATATTTTCAAGATAGAATATAAACAGATCTCGCGACAGTGCAAACGTTTCGTCCAGTTTCGATCAATAGACAAAAATTTGAAAAAAAAGAGAGAAAATGTTAAGTAAAAAATAATCGTGCCGGTTCGCGAAGGTAAGGAAAGAACAGCGTTAAATTAAGGGGGTGGTTCATCGTGACATCGAGATCATTAATCAGATCAGATGATCATTGGGAATTGTGTTTCAGGATTGCATTCACCTCACGAAGGATTAACCGGTGGCTCTGGTCAAAGCATGTCTGGACTTGCTTACTATCAGACAGAACATCCCGGATCTACAGGGGTAGTAAAGTACCCCGAGAACGGACACGATACTCTTTCAGACTTTGTGACATTTGTCTGCCAAGAAGCCGAAAACACCCAGCAATTACCCCAGGTAGTTTAATGACTAGTGGATAATATTATATTTAGAATCACACAAGCGCGTTTTTTTTCGCGGATTATCAGGAAGATTACCTTTTGACACTCACACAAAATCACTACAGTTTCTATGGGGCGAGGATAAAAACCGGCAAAGCTGAAACTGAACCGCGATTACTTTCAGACGCAGTTAACCGGACCGCGCACTGGTATACAAAAATTCCCACAGTATTATCCGAGTTCGATGTTACCGCCACCACCTCCTGCTCCTATGGCCAGACCGGTGGCGATAATAAGATCGACGGGTGAACTGGCAGCGACAACAGCTAGTTCGCCACCAACATCGTCCACATCACCCACGGATCCAGCCGAATTAGGTCCCAACCAAGAACAGATGACCGCGGCAGTTGGTCTCGTCGGTTCTGCTTGCCAGAATTCTGTCGAATCCGCTGGCCGGAAGAGTCCCGCCAGAATTCTCGTTACACCGCACACAACTAGCAGGGAATACACGTTTGCTCATTTTCATTCGCAACCCGGACAGGTTAGATGGTTGTACGATTTTATTCTTGTTTTCTTGAGGATATTTCTTTCATCTCATTGTCAATTATATCAAAGTCAGTTTGAGTTTTGTTTATAAAAAACAGATATAATCTTTCTGCACTGTATTCTTATTTTTTCTAGCAAATCTTCACGTATCCGACCATCAGCTCAATGTCCGGAGTAATTTCGCCGACTAATCTGTCTCTATTTTCATCTCCTGTCTCGGTTACGAGACCGGTGGCCACCCAGAGATCAGTCTCAAATGTTCCGCCGCGTTGGAATACTGCGCCATTTATCAATTTGGAGGACGACTACAACATGATCGCGCCGATTATCGCTGGGACTACAAGCGAACCACCTGCTGCTATGGAAGAAGGTGAGGCTAAATCTCGTGTTCCTATCAATGGCAAAATTATAAGTACAATATTTCTGCTAGCTTAAAACGGAGATATCCTTTCTCTCTTTTTCAGAACGATATTTTCATCCTGTGCATACGAGTGGCGTAGTAGACAAAAATGGCAGTGGTAATTTAATAGGCAACGAACTCGGAGTAAGCACAGATCCTGCATCCCATCATCATCAACAGCAGCAACAACAACATCAACAGCAGCAGCAGCAGCAACAACAACAACAACATCAACAACATCAGCAGCAACAAACACAATCATCTTCGCAACAGCAGCAACAAGTAATGGCAGATAAATCCGGTGGACCTAAATCTCCTCCGTGACAGTGGAGTCTGAAAACGGAAAGTCTCGAGAGATTCGCATACTCGTCGCGTTTTTCGAGATCGGTGCTTGGTATCGCGTGTAATAATTATTCCGAAGTTATGGCCGAGACCGAGTTTGAGAGTAATCGTCAAGAATCTATGTCTCGTACACAATTACGTGATTTAAACTTGCGGAGAATAGAATGTTTAAGAGTTCGATCTTAATTTACCGTTATAAAGCAAGAACAAGAATGCTTTCTGTAAGGAACGTAATCGAGGAAAGAAGAGATTCGTTGATTCATGTTTATCTCGAAATGGATTCGTACAATATAAAGTTTCATATTACAACAACTTAACCAAGTATAAGTAAGTTCTTCTAAAGCATAGTTAACCGCGAGAGATTTTGCGACGCTTGGAATAACCATAAGATGACGTCGCCGTGCATGCCTTATCCTGCTCGAGAACAGAAAATTGTTTACATACAGTGTCGTACAACGAAATATTGTTCAAGCTATAATGTGTAACGTATTTAGATGAAACGACATCATTTCAATTAAAATTAATACAAATAATTGAACGCGATGTAATTAATATGCAATATCGTTTGGCCATTTGTCAACAACACAAAGTGCGCTTGTATTGGTCGATACACGTTTCACGATTTCCATATAATTATCTAAATTATTATCTTTATCTATTTCTCCATCTCGTCCCTTTCTCTCTCTCTCTCTCTCTCTCTCTCTCTCTCTCTCTGTCTAGTTTTCTCTTTTTCGTATCTTTCTGTATCTCGAGATACAAACGAGAGCAATTGAGTTTCTTCATTTATGCTATTAATAATCTTTCTAAAGCTCGCAATCTCATGGTTGTAACGGTGCGGTATTCTTCCATAATGTGTATTATAGTAAAGATTCGTTATTTTCGTAATAAAATTTTCGTGATATATATGCAAGCACATTTTTTTAATAAGCTCAAAATTGTAATATTTTGTATAAATAGTGTTTTATAGTTGGTAATAATGAAAAGAGGCACGGAAGCAAAAACCTTCTCTCATTACTAAAAGCAGAAATAACGCGTTTATAAAACTTTTGTGAGCACGCAATACTCTCTCCTTATCGTTTTCTGAAAATTTTTTAAACGACCTTCTCGTTGATTCAATCTGCATGCTTTGCAATATCTTTTTAATACTGAAATAAACAGCAATATGCCGTATTTTTATTGATCGCCCTTTGTACATTTTGTGTAGTTTACGTTTCAACTCTCTGCCGAAAAATTGTTCTTCCACAATTATTCCAGACTTTGCGTCACGTGTTTGGAGTATACAAGTTTATACGTATTTACGTAGAAAGTTGTGTTACATGTTTTGAGGTAGTGCATCGATGAGTAACTATTACAGATTTATATATATAGCTTGAACAAATAAAATTTGTTATCTCGTGTATCACAAAGATACGTATGAGTGATTCGTTAGAAATAAATTGGCAACGTGTACGATTTATATAATAATCCAATATAATTGAATCGTGTATAGAGTTTTCTGTGCCAATGAAGCAGCACACGTGCGCGCTATTCTTTTTGTAGTGATATTAATAAATTAAGGATTTCCTATAAACGCGGATTAATGCGAGAGAAACGTCGATGGTGACAAGCCGCACTTTAAATGAGGATTCATCGAATAAAGATTTGCAAATTTGCAAATGAGAGGTACTCGATAATAAGCATAGCGTCACCGCGTAATGCTCAGGCTAGCATTAATACGTATTAGGGAAAAGAACTAGTGAAAACTAGTCACATCAGAGGCTGCTAATTAGAAACAATGTGGATATTTAATATTGTGTTTTTCGGATAATATAAGCGCTTAATTATTTAAATATGTTATTAATGTTATATTGAGGATGATGACGTAGAAAATAATATCCCGCGTGGGCAAACATGCATCGAATATTATTATTGCGAACAAAGTCCAAACTTTGTATAAAGTTTTTCATCGCCAATATATATCAAAAAGAATACATAAAATATAAGAAATTACTATTATTACGGACTTACTATAATATTGTAAAATATATTCAATTAAATTAACAGCTCAAATTTTTCGTTTACATCATAAGAGCAAAACACTCCTAATATATTTATTAAACGATCAGATTCATTTCATTTTTTAATAATTAATTAAATTACTTTTCTCTCTTCTATACATGTAAGTGACGCGAAGAAGAATGCTTGTATTTTTTTCATCCGTAATCAAAAAAACATAGATAATAAGAACATTCGACTTAGACGAGCGATATGTTATATTCTTATGTACATTATCTGGATAACAACACTCAATTTTGTTATATTATAATACCGTTTTATTAATATTGTTAAAACAAACAATCGCGCACTCTAATGTTTTCTCTTAAATTGTTTCCTTGTCTTTTTAACACATGAAGTTCGATAGAAAGTTTATCGGTGATAAGGAGAGAAAAACCGTATTTTCAAAACTTCTTTTGCGGACAAATTTGTGATTTGATCGGATGATATAGATATTTTTATTTAATTAACGAGATACAAGTCGGGTCAAATTTTACCATAGTTATAATCATAATCAAACTTATTTCGATAATACTTTAAGTACAACACTATATTTCATTTTCTTTTAAAATGTAGATAGTATTGTTAAGACAAACTTATAAGCCTAACGCTTGTGAATGTAGTTGAAACAGATACGTATAGTTACCTATCTGCTTGTGGCTCCACTATTTATAATTAAAAAACACGGATTATTTGATTAAGCACTCAACCTCGCTTATTAAAAATAACAATAATCCCAATCTATTTAAAATAAGTTAATAATTATGCGAGGTTTAAATTATAGGATATCTACTTTAGAATTATAGTTTTAGATAGCCTATTCATATTATCATTATTGTGTTTGTGTGTATTTCCGTGACAAGAGAAGTATATACAATACAAGTATGTGGACGCACGTGTAAAGTAGAGAGGTCAAAATAATACCAACAAGATAAATGAAAAAGTATCATGTGGCCACTGTACCAGAAGACGCAAAACATTTTGTTACTCGAATCATGAAAATAAGATCACTGATCGGCCGAATGTTTTATTTTGCTGGATCCTTCCCCATTTATTAAATTAATGAGTGTTGATCCTTAACTGGTGATAAGAAATCTCTCATACTTTTTACTTTCATTTTAGATTTCTTTTTCGAAATTTGAGATTTTTCAGAACTTTTCAACTTTTTTGGATAACGTTAATTAGTTTTATTTGTTATCTAAAGTATGTAGAAATATAAAAAAATAGAAGAAAAAACTGTTGCATTAAATTTAATATCTTAAATGATTTAGTTCTCTTATTCAAAGAATTATAAAATATAATATTTCAGATATCTTTGAAATCTGAAAAATTCTCGTATATACCATGTTAAGGATTAATTTAGCTTGTTGATTTTATGAAAATATATTAGTTGCTGAATTATTCCATATAGTTTGATCAGAAACCGAAATATAATCTTTTTTCGACACATATCTTAATTTGCGAAATATCAAATTTATGTTTAATTTTGTGCCTGATAATATTGATATTTTTTTCTAAATTATTTAGTCATTTTTTTATTTCACGTATACAAAACCTGCTTAAATTAATATCTTTTTTTTATTTTGTAAGCATATTCTCAAAATGTTGAATATATCATTTAAATTGCAATACGTCATTTCCATATTGACAGTTATTCTTAAGTTGCTTATTATAGACACTATTGATTATCCTAATAACTCTTTTTATATATACATTGAATTATTTTATCTCTGTAGAAATTAAAAATTCTTTAACATTTTTATATAAAGCACATATACATATGTATAATCTAAAAAAACATATTACGAAATAATAAATAATATAAATAAATTATACAAAACAAAGATAGAAAAGATAATAATAAGAAAATAGATTTCAAAAATACTTGTGCATTAATGAAAAAAAGTGCTTGTATATCTATTAATTCAACAATAACAATAATAAATATATAATAATAATAAATCGATATTAAATACTATATTACGTTAATAATCCTACAGAATGTTTTTAATGCAATTGCTCTTATATTATATAAAACAACATTACAATATCTACAGCTTATAGTAATGTTATAACCACAAAAGATTATTATTGCTTAACATTATTATTGCACTCTCTTTATTATTATTATTAAAATTACTATATTGCTACTACTATTATTAGTATACCATTATTGATATTGCTGCTATTACTACAACGATTACTAATATTATTATTACTATCATTACTATTAATACTACTACCATCATTACTACTACCATTACTATCACTGCTACTATTACTAACAACTACCATTACTAATACCATTAATATTCTATTCTTATTATTATCACCACTAATACTATTATTATTACTAATTCTACAACTATTACTACTATTACTGCTATTATTATTACTATTACTACTATTACTATATATTGTCATTAAACTCCTACAAATATTATTAATATTATTACTGTCATTACGGCTACAAATTATTACTACTATTAACACCACTGCTACTAATGCTGCTACTATTACTATTAATTCCACCACACTACTACTATTATCGGCATTGATACTACTCCTACTATATATTACTACTGTTGCTATTATTACTGCTGCTGCCGCTGCTATTACCACTATTACTATTACTATTACTATTACTGTTACTGCTGCTGCTGATACTAGTAGTAGCATTACAGCTACTATTACTCTACTCTACTATTACTATTACTAGGAATATTAATTCTCTCTCTACTGTTATTACTACCATTACTATTACTACTAATACTATTGTTATTACTAGTACTATTCCTACAATTGCTATTGTTATTTCTAATACTTTTATTATTATTATTACTAATGCTACTTCTATTATAATTACTATCACTACTACTGCTATTGTTACTACTACTATTATAATTAATTTAACGTCACCATTAAACACTTTACCACTATTACCGCTATTAATGCTACTGTTACAACTATTACCGTTATTACTACCATCACTATCACCACCACTAAAACTACTATTACTATTATTATTATTGATACTATTACACTACTATAATAAGTATTACTACTCTAACTAATAGTGTTATTACTAATACAATTAGTTTTACAGCTATAAGCATAATTATTATTAATATTTTATTGTATAAATATCACTATTATCACTGTCTCTAATATTGTCGCTATTATCAACACTATATTAATGCTACACGATATTAACTATTATTTTTCTTATGCTTTATTTATCTACTGCTACTAATTTTCTTCGCATAACTATTATTAAAATTGCATTGCCAGTATTAATGCATAATATACACATATATATAATTATTATTTATTAAGATATTTTAAAACATATTAATTGTAAGAAATAGATACTGAAAGTATATTTACACAAGCCATTAAAGAAGATGACAAATGTGCTCGTGACGATTCGAAATTAGCATGTATATGCAAACATGTGAAAACAATATTAGCCTCGCTACATTGTTTTAGAACTATAATGATTCAAAATTATTAACAAACCATAATTTATAAAATTTGGACATGTTATATATACTTTTGGATATCGTGCACTATTTAAAAAAAAAACTGAGTGGTTCGGGATATATACATTACGAAAGTTTTATGTTTCTTCCGAAATGCATCACGAGAGAAGAGGAAGAAAGAGCGCACAATTTATATAATGATATTAATTGATATAAATTGATGAAGTTACAAATTCTATAAGCAATTGCAGTATTCTGAGATAATTTTTACATGTGATTTTTGTAACTAAATTTTAACTTTATTATTTTAATTTTAATAAATTGCTAAAAATCATTGTGATATATGTGATACAAATATCACAGTACTAATATGCTGTTTTTAAAGCGTGAATGATAGAATAGTGTGCCAACTTATAGTAATGTAAGTTTAGATTTTAGGTATTCACATCAAGGATAATGGCGCAAGAATACATGGAGATAAATACATGAAATTTCGATTACGATAAGTAAAAAAATAAATCTAATGTGATACAACGATTGTATGAATAGTGAAGTAAGCGTTAATTAATGGCACAATTAATATGATACGATTAACTTGAAAAACATTATATCTTGAAAGTATTTAAGAATATTTCGATATATATCTCCAGCATAATTTAAATTGTATAATAATCTTATAATATCTCTCATTGATATTTATTTATTCAGCATTGTTTTTTCCAAAAGACAAAACATTTACTTATTATTAATTCACGTTTAACGAAGGCAATGTTTCATAGTTCATAACAATTAGATTACTTAGAAACCTTTTGTATAGCGTATCAAGTTGCCTTGAACCGAAAGTGCATTAAAAAATTGTTTGCGCTTCAGCCGTTGTGAGGAATAGATGCAGAGTTATAATATGGATATTATAAGACAAATCGATACTTATAGTTTCATTTACGATAAAGAGTGGTAATTTCTGCGATGTCAGTAGTAAATCGTATATTTACGATAATAGATAAACGGTAGCTGAAGAAATGTTAGCAAAATAAAAATTTAAGAAGTGTGCATTACCATTTTTATATTTATATAGACGTATATACATCAAGTATCAAACGTAACCAGAATAACGGATCGTAATCATTTTCTGTTTCATCGCATTCGTATCGTATTTGTCTTATATAGATATCCGTGAACAATATTTGTCGCTCCACGCAGTTCTTTCAACGTGCCTATAAATACGACGACTTTGCTTCTGTAAGATAAATCTTACGGCAAATTCTAAGTTTGTCAAGACAAGGTGTACAAGCCAGATTTTGTATGAAAACAAAGTAGAAATATGTATAAATTATTCGTGTCAAAGGCAAGTCGAACAATTGAAATTCTGATATATTAGGCGCAAATGTCATTATATATTCCGAGCCACTCATGTCTTACAGAAAGGGATGCGATTTAAGATGTAGCTTAAGATTTCAACAAACCGTTCACATACACACATACACGTATACACAGAGCGAATTGTAAGATATACTTGAGAAAAAAACATAATTAGAGAGCAGAAGAGACAATAGAAGCAGATAGAAATCAAATCTAAAGATTTGAATATTTTCAATGACCACCGTTTTTTAAATATAAATATTAGAAAAGCCGTAAAAAAAAATTGAAATGTCTGTTGATCGTCATATTTGAAGAAATTAAAAAAAATAATTGATTAGTTACCACGATTCATACATGTATACATGTATATACGCACATAATGTAGACATAATAATATATTCAGAATTGTCAATATATATATACATATTTATTTAGACCTGAGGGATACCAAACTTGAGAAAAAAGCAAAGCGCGTTCCCATAAAAATTGAACATTGTTGCAAAAATAGTATTTTTTTCTGCACTGTATTTTCTTTGTTATCATTCGCTATTTCGTTGTGTATTTTTATGTAAAAAAACATTTATTAAAGCGCGAAATATAAATTACTTATAACAACGAGAGATCTGTAACTTAGGACAAAAATTATCATCAATAATGGATTATATTGAAGACTGACAATGAGAGTAGCGTCAGAGACGTTGCCTGTGCGTGTGTGCATGTATGTATGTGCAGATTATCTTTACAGATTGTAGAGGTATGTTTTCTGTTTCAGGTTTTATCTTACTGATAATATCTTGTATTCCATTATATCTATGATATGTTATGCGATACCTATGATATAATATGCGATTTCAAGTAAAACAAGCAGATCTTCTCTCTGATGTGTTTCAAAAAATTTTGAGAAATATATGCAAATTGATTTAAAGATAAATTCTTGCGACTTTAGAGCAGATCTTCTCTCTGATGTGTGTTTCAAAAAATTTTGAGAAATATATGCAAATTGATTTAAAGATAAATTCTTGCGACTTTAAATACGTAAATATTTCTTCGCGGTCGTGCCTAAAGAATTACATAAACATTAACGATTAAGTTTCTACGTTATTTGAATGTGGATATAAAACAGCTAAAAGAATTAATGAGTAATGAGCAATAATGTAAAGCGCCATATAAACATACTATCTT